ACCCACCACAGCCCCAGGAACCACACTGCAACCTACTCCGACCCACCACAGCCCCAGGAATCACATTGCAACCTACTCTGACCCTATTTAGCAATGGCACAACAATTATCATCTTCCTTTTCAGCCTTAGCAGTTGCAGGTACCACGGAGCCGAGAGAGAAAGCGTGCAAAGCTGTCTTCACATTCAAACCCTGTTACCTTATGGAAGACAGATAATAAATACTACTGCTAATAAAATCACAGACTTTTACTACATTGTTACGCTGGAAGATGTTAATGGCTTCCATCAAGCCGGTCTTTGAACTATAGACAGTCCCAAACCTGGTTAAAGTTGATGGCTGTCCAAAGCAAAGGCCAAGAGCTTGTCTGATTGGGGAAATCACCCAGAATTGCTATTGTCGAACGAGCTGTTCTGGCACCGCTACCTGTGTAGACACTCTAATCCGGAATAAAAGTCACTTTTATTCTGAAATGATTAGGGTGCTTCCAAAATGGAGTCGCTATTCTGGAATAAAATCACCCGCCCCGAGTCAGACAGAGAGTATGTACCACAGCGGAAGCTAAACCCTGGTCTCCTAACACACAGGCTAGTCCCCTTGCCACTGACCCGTCTTTCCTGCCTTATTTATGGGCACCTGGGAAAATTCTCGCCCGTGTTAAAGCAAGATGCCAGGCAAGCGCTGTACTTCGACTGCAGCGCTGGTGGAGAGAGGGAGCGCCTCTGATTTCTTCGGGGGCAGTGTTACATCCTGCCGTATTGTCGTGCGGTTTGTTGAGATGAGATTTGAGCTCCAAGCCCCCGGAGTAAAACCGCCTCCCTCTGATGAAAAGAAATAATTGGGATGCGTGTCAGAAATGGCCCACGAAGCCCTCCCCTCGCTGCAGGCCGTTTAGCGGCGGGCTCTGCTAATTGCAAACCGGCATGGGCTCGATCCTCAGTCACTTGTGATGAAGGGGGTTGTCCGAGGGCACGTGTTCTTAAGTCGTGTTCCATTGGGAGCCCGCTGCGTGGGTTTGCCTGGTGTTAAAATGAGGGAGTGGAAAGGTTTAGTGCTTAGAGCAGGGGAGTCAGGACTCCTGGGTTCTTAGGTCTGTGATGGGAGAAGGGACTAGTGGTTAAAGCAGGGAACCAGAGTCAGAACTCCTGGGTTCTATTTTTAGATTGGGGAGAGGAGTTTATTGGATAGAGAAGTAGGGTGACCAGATGTCCTGACTGTATAGGGACAGTCCTGATATTTGGAACTTTTTCTTATATAGGCTCCTATTACCCCCCACCCCGTCCCGATTTTTCACACTTGCTGTCTGGTCACCCTATAGAGAAGGGACTCCTGGGTTTTATTCCTAGTAAGGTCATTGGCTCACAGTGTGACCTTAGGGAAGTCACTGGGTCAAATTCATCCCAGGTGCAGCTGCACTAACCAGGACAGAATTTGACTGCCCGTGCCTCGGTTTACCCACCTATATAAACAGGACGATAATGATTTTTTCTCCCTCAGAAGGTTGTTAAGAAGGGTAGGTAATTAGGGCCTATAAAATGCTTTGACGACCGCTAGTGAAACGCTGTGTACGATAAGCACCAAGGATCTGCTTCTTGCCCTAAATTCTGGTTCAGGGTTGTGACGCTGCCAGAGGTTCCACCCCAGAGGTGGATGAGGCAATCCCCCACTCTGGTTTGTGTGTCACTCTTAAGATCTCAGGGTCCCTCAGGATGAAAAGTGCCTGCGGCGCGTGCGAAGGCTACTCTTACTGGCCGGTCCGCTGGGAAAGGCTCCAGGCTTTTATTACAGTCCTGATGCTCCGGCTGACTCTCCCTTCCATCAAGTCTGTCCTGGGTAATT